CGCAAAAATATCCAGCGCATCTACTGGCTAGGAAGTGACCCTCTCAGCAGCACAGAAGCGGAAAGGGATCTCGGAGTGATAGTGGACTCTAAGATGAGCATGAGTCGTCAGTGTGATGAAATCATCAGCAAAGCTAACCGCACTTTATCATGCATTAGCAGATGCATGACAAATAGATCCAAGGAAGTGATAATTCCCCTCTATACGGCACTGGTCAGACCACAGTTGGAGCGCTGCGTCCAGTTTTGGGTGCCGCACTTCAAGAGGCTGTTGATAGACCGAGAGGGTCCAGAGGAGGCCACTCGTATGGTCAGGGTGTTACAGGCCAAGCCATATGAAGAGAGACTGAGGGACCTGGACCACTTCAGCCTCTGCAGGAGAAGGCTGAGAGGTGATCTTGTGACCGCCTACAAATTCATTAGGGGGATGCAGCAAGGGATCGGAGATGCTCTGTTCACCAGGGCACCTCTTGCGGTAACAAGGACCAATGGTCACAAACTGCCAGATAGCAGATTTAGGCGAGATAGCAGGAAAAACTTCTTCACGGTAAGAGTGGGCAAAATTTGGAATGGCCTTCCAGGGAAGGTGGTGCTCTCCCCTACCTCGGGGGTCGTTAAGAGAAGGCTGGACAGGCATCTGGCAGGGGTCATCTGACCCCAGCGCTCTTTCCTGCCTAGGCAGTGGGTTGGACTTGATGTTCTGTTGAAGTCCCTTCTGACCCAAACATCTATGAACCCATGAAAGGGGACCCCCACCGGCGCCCTTAGCAGTTCAGCCTAGTGCCTCATCACCCATGCCCCCAGCCCTAGGGCTACTTCTTTGTTTGCACTTGCCTGGCCACAGTTTGCAGCCAGGGGCTTTCCTCTTTGTGACCATCAAGAGCCTTGGCTGCCTCCTACAGAGGCACCTCAAGATGCCTCTTTGGCTCCCTTGGTGACCTAACCTGACCAAGCCCTGTTGCTGTCATGTGGGAGGCATTTCCTAGAGCCCAGGAGTCAGGGAGCTGGCTCCTTTCTGGGTCCACGGCAGCTCTCAGCCATATGGGTCCCAGGCCAGTGTCCAATGTCCCCGTGTCAGCTTCAGCAGCGCCCAGAGAGAGTTGAAATCACTTCTCTGCTCTCCTCCCTGTGCAGGGTGAATCAGTCCCCCCGCTGATCCAGTGCAACCCCTGAGTGCCCAGCTCTCTCCCTACAGGGCATGGCTCACCCATGCCCTTTGGAGAGGCAGGTGGCAGGATGGAGGAGCTCTGCAGAGTGAGAAGCTGGGGAAATGATGCAGGCACGGTGCAGGGAGCCCTATGGAGTCTGCAGGATCATTGTCTGAAGGGCAGTGGAGCTCGCAAATGGAAGCAGGGGTGTTTTGTGAGAAGGGGCAAAGCGGAGGTGTGCCATTCTCCCTGCTCACTGGCCTGAGTCCCTCCTGCGTTCCCCTGGCCTGCTCAGGCATCCCTAGGTGGTGCTCAGACCCTTGTCTGGAAGTGCTTGAACTCTGACTATTCCCTGACCGTGTCCATGACATGTCCACACACCCATGCCCTGCTGACACACCAGCCTCATTCGTCCCCCAACACGGCACTGATACCCAGAAGTCCCACGCACCTGCCCACAGGGCTCTGTCAAGCTGACCCTCTGCTGCTTTGAGCTCCACCCCAGACACAAATCCCCCAACCTCCTGGATTCCTCTCACACGCCAGTTCCTTGCCACTTCATGTACCTGGAGGTGGCGTGTCTGAGGGATGACTGTGCCAGCTTGGGGCAGGGAGGGCAGGGGGGAGAAATGCAGACTCTCTGCCCAGACTGGAGCCTGTGTATGATGCTGGGCTCTCTACAGCTGCTGGCAGTGTAGGAAGCACAGAGCGGGAGAGGTGGCCCATGAATCTCTGTGGGGGGTTTTCAGCTGACGGAGAAGATGCCTGCATGGTATGTACTCTGTGCTGGCCTGTGGTCATGATCCACATGTGCATGCCCAGCTCTTCATCCAGGACCTGTGCCCCACAGAGACCAGGCTGTGGGGGTAGGAGAGGACTGTGGCACCAGGAACTCCTGGTGGCGGTGGGGATGAAACAGGGGCAGGAGGGAATGAGGAGTGGGGGACGTGCAGCTCCCC